CCTGTACACACTGGCTCTCAGGAACTCCCTCCATTCACCCAGTCATAACAACTAAACATGTCTGCTGACATTGACAAATGGGCGGGGTAGGAGCCACATAAACTGTCTCCAGTCGAGAATCATTGCCCTAGAGAAACATGGGTTGGATCAGAGAACCAGGAAGAGGACCCCACATGTACAAAGATACAGGGCACAAAACAGCATAGAGCAACGATACTTCAATGATTGATCATGAAAGTCAATAATATTTATTATGCACCATTACGTAACACCTCCACACCATCTGCTGGCCCATCACTTCTACAACTTAGTTTGCATTTACTGCCTATAAAATCTCTCATTTCTTCATAAGAACTGTATGAAATGGCATTCCTATTAAAACTGTTTTTAAGAAGCCTGTTAAAACTCTGGGAGGGTAGTGAGGCACAAGAAGGCAAAGTAACTTACCCAGTGTCAACCAAAAAACTAGACAAACAATCCCAGTGGACTCAGAGCCCACGTACTTTCCAGGATATGGTGATGCAAAATGCTTTCTACATCCAGAGTAAAGAGTACACATTAGGATTTCAAAAGACATGAGTTTGAAAGACAAGAAGAGTCCATTTACTACCTACAAAGGAGTGTAACTTACATGTGAAAACAATGGGGAGTTCCTAAGGCACTTTTAGCAGAAGAGAGACACAAAAGGAAAAATCATGTGGGTAGCAATAGAAAGGATGAAGACAGTCGATGGGCACAGATCTGGGGGGTAGGGAGCACAGTCAGGAAATTACTGCAATAGCTTGGGTGAGAAATGTTGAGGCTCCAGCCAGGAAGGCAAGAGTCGGATGAGTACAGCCACTCATTTAGGGACTGAGTGACTGACTGACCCAGAGACTGATAGAACATAATAGCTAATGTGTCCAAGCGATTCGAGAATTATGAACCTCAGCAGGTCTCCATGGGAATGGTCTGTTTCCCTTCTCTTTCCATTTTCGCATCCTCAGAGTTCATATCTGATTGTATTGGGGTTGCAACAGCAGCAATGCCTTGTCCTCCCCTACTTCACATATTCAGTAACATTCACAAGGCGAATGTTAAAGTAAGTACCTAATATGGACCAGGCATGACATCAAAGGCCTTACGTACATTATAACATGAAACCTCCTTAAAATAGATTCATTGCCACACTTCCCAATACAGATTAAGACATTGAGGCTCACACTTCTTAGGGTTTAAATTCAGATTTGTTTGACTTTCCATTTCCACTGGGGCCTGAGTGGAGCAGCAGTAACTCAACATTCTGCAATACCAGATCCACATAGGAATGTCCTAAGTTCATATCCCAGGGCTTCCCCATGTACACTAAGTGATCAGGCTGGCTGAGGCTGAGGGATGGAGTCATGGTGTGGAGATTCTTTTGGAGGTGCTTCTCTCTTTCTCTCTCATGAAAGTAACTTTAAACAGAAAGAAAAAGAGAAGGAAGGAAGGAAGGAGGGAAGGAAGGAGGAAGAAAAAAAGAAAAATAGAAGGGACAGGAAATACAAGGGCTGGGGATAGTGAGGTGGATTTACTCCCTCAGGCTTACTGGGAGGACCAACTGATGAAGTGTTCGACTCTTACAAGGTCAAATGTCTAAAGGAGACAGCTTAGAATTACCTTCAGTACTGAAAAGCAAAGTAAAAGAAAACCCTTCAGTTATATTTAATTGAGCCCAGATTTCTGTGCCCGACTATTAAAACTGCTCGCCCACCTAGTCCCCTTTGCTTTCTCTTGCCTCTGGGCTTCTTGACCCTTATTTCTGTCTTTGACATTCTTCATTCTCCCTGATATATTTAGCTGACTTTCTCCAGTAAAGCATTGGTCAGCTTGCCGCCTAGAAAAAGGCAGTTTCAGCCCCTCTTCTCCTTTCCTCCTCATTCTCACCGTCTCTACCCTCTCTCTCTTCATTTCGTACTACTTATTGCTTCAGAGTCATTTCTCCCTCTCCTTCTCTGTCTAGTTCCCTTTTCTATCCTACAGGTACTTTTTAAATGATTGTTTATTCCCGTGAGACACACACACGCACACAGGCACCCCAGTTAGGTCCTCACACTGTAATCCACCACAACCTCAGTCAGCCTGGATCACAGCCAAGTATGCTTGTGCCTGGCATGTAGGGAGGTCCTGGGACATGAACTGGGGACCTTCCCATGTGGGTCTGGTTGTGTCACCAATGGGCTACCATCTGGCCCTCTTTCCCTCAAGAACTGATTCTCCTTCTTTCCTTCATTGTTCTACTCCTACAAGTGGTTTTTTTCTCCCTCCTAGCCTTTGCTGAGAGACCATAAGGCAAAATCTAGTTTATTTTCAAGTCTTGTCTCATCCAGAGAATCTCAGGAATTACCGGAGAATAATCAGAATGTAAATAATGTCGGATAGAATTATTCTTGGACAAAGAAACCATCCAATTAGGGGTGCACAAGCTAGGAATCTTCTAATTGGCTTTCAAAGAGATTAGATCAGTGGTTCCTCAAACCTTAACCTACCTCAGAATACCCTGGAAGGTTGCTAAAAGGCTGCTGGGCCTGCCCCAGTGTTTCAGATTCACCAGGTCTGGGGTGGAGCTGAGAATGTGCTTTTCTAATGGGTTCCCACGTCCTGTGGTATTGATGCTGCTGGCCTAGGGGCCACACTGGCCTAGAGAACCAATAGAGTGGGAAAACCAGCAGCTGTTGGGGTCAGTAGTGCCTGGCGTTAGTTAGCCTGAGGGACATCAGAGGCAATAGAGCTTTGTACTTCGTCACATCAACAAAGGGACTGACAGCAGTCTAGGCAGCTCTGGATAAACGATCCAGAAGATGCGCTGGGGTGCAGTGGGGAGGGGAAGACAAATGGGGAAAGCTCTGCATTGTAATCTTCTGGGAAACACCGGAGCCAGCTCCAAACCCTGTCATCCACCCTCCCACTCGCAATCATGCATAGAAGCAGCAGAAGGGAATTCTCAGATCCCTTTGATCTCTTCCCAGCTCCAGTCTTCTGTCTGTTTATCTCCCTCCTTCCCTGGCCCCCTTTTCTCCCCTTCCCCCGCCCAGTAGATGATTCACTCCCCCTCTCCCCCGCCTCCCCACCTCACTGCCATCTGTTTTCCTAATGATGGCAGATGAGCTGTTTAGTTGGCCCGCACTGTAACAAAGCACACTCCACGCTAGCACTCTCCCCATGCGTTCTCAGAACGCTGTTTTATTGGTATCATCTCCCCACCCTGTTTCCCTTCGACTCTAAAACCCCACCCTTTCCCTTTCTCTGGCCTCATGTGGATCCCAGTTTCCCAGAATCAGATCAAGAGACACAGAGACACAGATACAGAAGAACAGTGGGATTAACTCGCATGTGGGCTGGGCGTGCATAGGGGAAGGCTGCTGGAAACTGAGGGCAGTTAAAGCTCACTCAGCAGCATACAAGGACAGGCCAGAATTACCCAAGCACTGCTACTAAGTGACTTGCTTGTTTCCAGTGAGAGTTTTGGGTGAAAAAACCTGTTGTGATTGAGACTAGAATATTTGTATTTGTTACTGGCTATTTGTAGGGTTCAAGTAGTGTGTGTGTGCATGTGTGTGTGTGTGTGTGTGTGTGTGTGTTAGAGAGAGAGAGAGAGAGGGAGAGAAAGAGAGAGAGAGGATTCCTGGGCCATCCTTCTTCAGCAAGGCTCTGCCACATTCTTGACTTCTTAGGTTAACTCCAGCAAACCTAGCTAAAGAACTCAGAGAAGCCTAAGGTCCCCTGCTGGTAGGGGAACCCACAGCATAAAGAAGTAGAAAGGATTTTCCTTGAGGTAGCAAAGGTCTAGTTTGAGTTCATCAGCAGTGAACGACAAGTCTACCTAAGAGGTTGCAAACATAGATAGCTTCATGGCTTAGGCAGGTAATATAAATGACGGAAGTCCATAAGTAAGTATCCACAGGGTGAGGCGAAGACTACTATTTGGAGAGAAGGGTCCGTCTGCAATTATAGCTACTACTCAGATCCAGTTCATTATTGCTATGGTTACCAGATATTCTTGATTTTTTTAAAGATAAAATTCTTTGCACAAAGAGGTTTTTTTAATATTTATTTTATTTGGGGTGTATGTATGTAATGCTATGTATGTGCACATAAATTTTACGTGAACAATCTCCATATTTAAACATTGGCAACCAAACTAAATGTTTTCAACATCGTGCTGTGGGCCTTTGGCCTGCAAAACCCTTATGATTTTTCCCCCTCTTTTAAATTTTCTATATGATGTATTTCCTCAAAGGAGAGAGAGAGAGAAAATGAGAAAGCACCCCAGGGGGCGGCCCCACAAAAATCCCTTCTCCTGCTTTGGGATTTGGGGCATGCATGCACACATGGGTGGTGTATCGCCCGAGCTGCTGGGTCTGGGACTCAAACCACGTAGTTGTGCATGTGGGATCTAGCCACCTTAACCACTGACTGGCACCACAAACCCTTGTCTAACTAAGCTCAAAAGGGTCTTCTTACAAAAATCTCACAATTATAAATAACTCTGGCTTGGCTTTTAAGTGCCTTTTTTTAAAAATTGCTTTAATTGCTAGAGGGCACACACACACACACACACACACACACACACACACACCAGAGAGAGAAAGAAAGAGACAGAATACATTCCCAGTGGGGGACAGTCATTCTCAATTCCGTCTCTATTTCTCTGTCCATCCTGCTAGGATTTTGGGCACAAATGCACACATACCTGGAATGTATTTCAAGCCACCTGGGTCCAGATATGAACCTCAGTTGACCATGTGTGATAAGATTCTCTTTATTCACTGGGCTACACGGCCAGCCCATACTTAAAATTTTATTAAGTCACTTAAAGTAATTTAGAAATCCTAATTTTTGTACATTTTGGATTGGAGAACTAAGCAAATTTAAGCGATTGAACAAAGGGCAGAGGAGAAGACAGAGACAAGATCCTGAATACAGTGAGGCAGGCAGACTGTATTTCCATATCTGGGCTGTGGGAGAGGCAGCAGGCTTACCTCGCAGGACTGGATGCAGTGCACCAGGGAGGGATCTGGGTGCCATTGACGCCGACCAGTGCACACGATGCTCTACAGGGAAGAAGAAAAGAACAGAAAACAAAACAAAGACATTTGGTACATGAGAGAAGGGGTGGCTCCTTCATTTATTCCACCAGCCCAGCTTCTTGCCCCAAGTGGCAAGACTTTAACAGCACCCCTGGAAAGAACCAAAGCTATGTGGCCTTTCCCAGGGAAACTGCTATCCTTGTCCACCAGATGGTGCTAAGGCAGAAATTCTCAATGTAGGGGAATTTTCATCCCTTGTCTCTTCCTCCCTCCTTTAGATATAAAAATATCCAGAGTAATGTTGGTATGGTTTAAAAAAAAGCACCCTTAATATTATAATCAGTTTAATTTCATTTTAGGCACAGCATTGTTAATAGTTCCATTTGCTTTGAAATCTTAAATAACCTTATAAGAAATGTCAGGTGGTTGTGCTGGTGAAGAAGTGCTATAAGGAAGGAGGTGTAGACAGTGGCTCAGCAACTGTACAAGGCTGACTCACATGGAAAGGTTCTGGGTTCGCATCCTGAGATCTCCCTGAGTATGTCGAGCACATGTGTATCCACGATACAAGGCTGCTTAAGGCTGGGGGTGGATCGTGGCATCAAGTCCTTCTTGTGGGTAGTATCTCTCTGTCTCTCTCACTCATGGAGTAAGTAAATAAACTTTTAAAAATATTTTTGAATTACCAAAAGAAGCATCATAGGTTTTTAAATCTACAAATATAGCTTTATAAGAAGTCTTCAGCCAAAAAATGGATCTCAGAAACCCTAGATTACAAGATGTAAAGAGAGCCCAAGCTAGGACTAAAGACTAAACTACACTCTGTCACCCTCCTTAGCACTGGTTAGCCCTTCCTTGTAGGAAATAGTGGCCACACTCCAGACAAATAGGATTAATGAGAAATCACTGGAACTCAAAATGGCCCAGCATTAAGCTAGTAGAATGCAAGCGTTTGAAACACCATTAACTGTCTCATTCCCAAGGTCATTTCCACAGTTAAGCAAATAGTCATCTCCTCTTTTTTAAGAATAACAATTCATTTTTACTGAGCTTTTCCCCTTTAATTTTTGTATTTCAAAAATTTAAAGGATTCACTGCAGGAAAAGAGAAAGTCTCACAGCAGTTTTCAAAGAGAAAAAAAGGTTCTCTGCATAGCCTGCTACCAACCCACCCATCAGCGCTTTCATAGTCACATTTTAATTTAGTACAATTGGAATTTGGTGCAACCAAATGAAAAATAATACATGGTGTGACATGAGCTTTACATAAGATAGAACTTCCAGCAATTGCAAATCATATGCTCTAGAATCCTAAAAATGCACAATAATCAGATTGGAGATATTTGCATATATTAATATGTAGATATATGAGGGTATACCTCATGGTCAGTTATGAGAATGGGAAGCTACAATATTTTTCTGAAGTTATACTATTAAAAACTAACTCTTCCTTCACAGAGCAGAGTCCCGAAAGGGAAAATAAATAGTCTAAATCCTCATAAAGTTTGATATTCCAAACTCTATATAATATTAGAATGTGACTTGGCTTAAGTTATTATTGTACTTAAAAAACTTGATCAAAATATCTAAAGTAAACACAATAGAGATATTCAGACAACTGAAAAAAGTGAGTTATTCTTCTGTGCTTAAAGCCACTTAAGCAGAACTATTTGCATATTAACAATACCTCTGTTAAGTAGAAATTATTCTTGTTTATGTTTTAAAGCAAATTCCAATGAGACTCTATGCAGCAGTAGTCACGACTTTTATTATTTAAAGTATCAATGTCCTCAAAGTTCTACAAATAAAACTACCATATGATCCAGCAATCCCACTCCTGGATTTCTATCCAAAGGACAGGAGAATGCTTAGCTGGGAAAAAGTGCTTGAACATCTATGTTTATTTAGTCACTATTCACAATTGCTAAGACATGGAACCAACTCAAATGTTCATGAACAAAAGAATGGATTAAAAAGTGTGGCACATATACTCTATGGAATACTACTCAGCCATAAAAAAACAATAGGACCTTGACTTTTGATAGAAAGTGGACGAATATGGAAGATTTACTGCTGAGTGAAGCAAGCCAGGCTATGAAGAAGAGACATTGTATGTTTCCACTTAATATGTACTGAGTGTCTGCACTCTATGGCTGAAGCTGAAAGATTAGAGGATATAAAAACAGGGAAAATGGTTATAGATGCTGGATACTGTGTGGGAAGAGGGTGGGAGAAGGAGGAGAGTTTGAGGAAAGTCATCAAGGAGAAAAAGAGAGAGGCAAGACATTTATGAAACACATAAATGGACTATCTGTTGATGATAACATGTATAGTATCCCCATCTGGACTGATGAGAAATGTATTCAAGTTGAAAATTCACTTCACAAGATAAGTGATGGGGACCAGCAGTTGTCGTAATAGTTACATTGCTGGACTGCCATGTAGTTGACCACAGTTCGAGTCCCGGACCCGGTAGCTTAAACTCACGCAGGGTGCGTGTGCATGCCTGCGTGCCCAAGATCCTCAGAGGAGAATGGATTGTGGCGTGGCCATCCCCCCTGGGGGGTGATTTCTCACTTTCTGTCTTCCTGTCTCTCTCTGTCTCTCTGGTGAGCGCATGCTCCCTATAGCAAAAACCTCTCAAAAAAAAAAAAAAAAAGATAAGTGATGTATAGTGATTGAATGAATGAAAGAAATTAAAATAAAATAAAAAATATTTTAAAAATAAAAATAAAGTATCAATGTTTTATACTTGTTTGCTATCCCAGATAGTAGCAATGGGAAAATCCTTAACATGTCCCCTTGAAATGCAAATGTGTGGCTGACGACTTTGTTCCTTCTTAAAATACTGTACTCACTAAGGTCCACACTCTACTCAGTCAGCTATTCCTTTGAGACTAAATGTATATAACTCACTATGAGCTGGATTTCACAGTGAGCCAAGTCTGAAAACTCATAAGCCTAAGAGGCTGACCTCGAAGAGCTCAAAATCTTTTGGGGGAGTCAATTCCATTATGTCAATTCTTCCACATAATAGAATTCTTGGTCTTGTTACATAGTGGGGACAACCAAAGAAAGAAAGCAGGTTTTTATTCTCAATTCTTTTTACATTTTCAATGTTCATTTTGAGGCAGGAGAAAGCTAGCAAATGAAAATGAGTAAAGGGGCTGGAGCATCTGTCTATGTGGCCAGAAAGAAAAAGCAATCAGGGCAGAAAATTCCTGCCCAAGACAGGAGATTACTCGGTTGTAGTGATGGCGGTGACGGCGGTGGTGATGGTGGAGTTAGCTGGTTAGGCCACATTTAACATAGCCAATGGGATAAATCAGGGGGCTCAGCCACATTTGATAGAGCCAATGAGATGGGAACAATCAGTGGGCCCAACCCGTGACCAACAAATGTGACCTAGATTATAAATTACACAGCTCGCAGAATGCAACTGCTAGAGCCTTTCAGGCCACTCTTTGTCCTCTCAGGCCTGCTCCTACCTCTCAGAAGAGTACTTTCTCTTTTACTTAATAAACTACCTTTTCCTTTCACCATAGGCGTGTTTCATTCAATTCTTTAAAATACCACAAACCTGGATATTATCACAAAAGTGATCCTGCAACAATTTCTCTTATTTCCAATTTACTTTTTACACCTTTGTACTTTTATGTAATTTTATTATAAGGTAATACATGTCCATAGTATACAATATAAACGTCATAAAAGTCCACAGTCTCCCTCCTACTCCTGTCCCCCAAATACCCTATTTCTTCCATCTTATTTCTAGTTCTTTTTCACATTATATAAACATATTCTTTTTTAAAGAGAATTCTTTTATATAACTTTATTTATTAATATTATTTTTATTATTTACCAGTTTGGTCAGACAGACAGAGGGAGAGAGAGAGAAAGCAAGTCACCAGGTCCAGGACTTAAACTGTGGTCAGCCATGTGGGAGTCCAGAGCCTTCAACCACAACACCACCTGCCAGCACCCCCCCTTTTTAAGAATTATTTCATTTAACTTTATTTATTACTATTATTATTATTTATATACAAGTATATTTAACAGGTAGATATACATGCCCACAAATTGTAGACTACTAAAATTTTATTTTGCTTTTGTTTTATTATGGTTTGTTTGGTTGTTTTACTTTCTTTTACTCTACAACTATCTTGGGTTTTTGTTCATTTTGGGGTATCTAGGATATTGTGGGTACATTGAATGTACAATATCCCATTGCATTAATGTACCCTAACTTATTTAACCAGATTCATATTGATGGAATTAGTCATGTCCTATCTTTTGCTTTAACAAAGCTTATTATCAACCATTTCACATATGTGCAAGTATATCTGTAGAATAAATTCACGATAGTAGAACTGAAAATATTCATCCCATAGATTTTTTATGTTCTACAATTCAGTTCTGAGATTGGTTCAATTTGGTAGCCCTCCTTAATTACTGTAAAACTATTAAGAGTTGATGGTAACTGTGGCCATAGTCCTCTCTAGACTGGAAAATCCTTAAGAATAGGGACTGTCTACCACTTCTATTTCTTACTTATCTCAGTTACTTAGAGAGAGAGGATATCCATAAGTTTTTCCAACCATTAAATATGATTTATCTTTAGGCTCCTTTGTCTTTTGCCCTATGATAGTCACCCATGCCATAAAGATGCCCCTTATCTATAAAGCTATGCATGTGCCATTAGACCTACTTATTGATCATAATTGGAGGAGAATTACTGATTTTTTTCAGAACTAAATTTTACGGGCACATTTGAAGTACAAGACAGAAGTGACTGAGAAAAATAACAGCAATGCTGTGAGATGTGAATATGATTTTATTTTCTGGAATACCTTTGACAAATTACAATCATATTTGTCACATTTGAAAAGCTATAGAGAATAATAAGAACAATTTTATATTTCTTGCCCAGCTTTATCAAATCTTAGCATTTTGCTGTTATCTATTTCCAGAGTATAAATCACCAAACATTCGATTAATGTTCCCTATATGTAGCCCTCCCGTGTC